CAGGTGCTGAGCCTGCCACCACCCAGGTGCTGTCACCTCCCCTGGATCGTGCATCGGCATGAACCTTGTAGGTGTCACTGAGGGGTGCTGGGCTCTCCCCAGCCTGGTAATGAGCATCAGCCCTGGCAGAGCCGAGGGTAACTCAGCCCCCAACGTGAGAGAGCCTGGTTACGGATATGTCTGTGGCAGCGGTCACCCCCGGGCACCGGATGAGAAGCAGCACCCCACGTGTGGGCACTGCCAGCTCGGACCAGGCTGGAGCCTCAGTGTCCCTGCACCAGCCCCAGCCCCTCCACCCCCGTGAGCCTGGAGCCTCGTTGTGCCCTCTTGCTCTGGTCGCAGCCGTCCCCGCAGCCTGGACCACCTGGGGATGTGTGGGCTGGAGTGCGATGGGGTGTCTCTGCTGGAAAACATCTGCCCAGATGTGCCCAGCCGCTGGAGGGTGGCTGAGGATGTGGAGGACTCCACTGCTGCTGCCCAGGTACAGCCAATGTCCAAGCCCTCTCTAACCCATGATGAAGCCCAGAGCTCCTCACGAGGACAGTTTCTTCTGCTAATGAAGCAGCGACTGACGGTGAATGACCACTCCTGGGGCTTAGATTTCAGAGGTCTTTGTTATGCAGGTGCTGGTAACCCAATCTCCCAGGCTTGGCTTCCTGGCAGCAGATCCGATAGCATGCCTGTCCCTGAAAGGTGAGCCCCTTCCCACTGCCACAGCCACCAGCAGACATTGGCTGGGGAGCTGCTGGTGGCTCAGGCCCCCGATGCTCCCCACAGGACTGCCACAGCCCCCTGGGATGGCACAGCCCTTCTGCCACCTCCCCTGAGGTCCTGGGGAGCATCTCAGGACAGGTAGGGATGAGGGACAGGGGAGGAGGGGAGGAGAGGGATGCTTGTGTATATCAAAATGCTTGAGGTCACCCATAGAGAGGGAGCGGGGATTTGGTGGCCTCCAGGAGAGGTTTGTAAATATGCTGGTGGGTACTAGACCCACCCTGAGATGAGGCTGGACCCCTCAACTGCTCCCCACCAGCCTGCATGCCCATCCCCTGCTGCCGACAGCCGTGCCATGGTAGCTTGGCACAGCCCGGGGCTGGCGAGGAGCAGGGCTGTGGCACTGCCTGGTCCTCCGGGCGCTGCTTCCCTGCCCACCCGGCTGGCCCGCTCCTGCCCACACTGTCTTCCCCACCGACCCAGAGCCCAGGCAGGGTGCTGAGGTCCAACCAGCCCCCAGCCCCCACAGGACATAAGGGGCATTTGGCAGAGCTCCTGGCAGAGATGCAGGGGTGGCACCAGGGAAAACGCATCCCCTTTGGATGCAGGCAGAGCCATCTGTAGTGGCAGGGTCCTGCTTTTCTAGGCAGGGCTGTCCATGGGCGCCGGCTCTACTGCGGCCATACCTTCTGCCAAGCCTGCCTGAAACGCCTTGACGCCGTCGCCAATGAGCAGCGCTGGATCCCCTGCCCACAGTGCCGCCAAAATACGCCCACGCCGCGTGGCGGCGTTGCCATGCTCGACCTTGACTTGGCCACCTTCCTTGCTGTCAAGGCTGACAAGGAGCATCCCCGGGTGGCCGGCAGGTCCCAACCCGACTTGGCCACCAAGGGCTTGTGCAAAGAGAAGGCGGTCACCCAGCAGCCGACGGGGCTGTGCCAAGAGGCAGGGCTTCCAGCACCGTTCCCCCGAAGCAGCTGCTGCCGGCTGTGCCTGTGCTGTGGGGTGACGGCAGCCTTTGAGAGCTGAGCAGGAGGAGGGGGCTGCTGGCAGTGCACGGGCAGCTGAGCTCCTGGGGTGCAGACTGGGACCATTTTGGGGGACCCCAAACTGTGTACCAGACCCACATCAGGACAGTAGTGGTGGGGCTGTGCTCGCAGCCTGGGAAGGGCTTCAGCTTGCTCAGGGCTCGCTGTTCATCTTGCCAGGATTTGGGGTGAAATGGGGGGCTGAGGATGCTCCCACTCCCTCATCCTGCCCACCCACCCCTCTGACAACTCAGAAACCTGGTCCAGCCATCATGGATGTCCCCACCCCCTGGCCCAGGGCTTGCTCACACCTGACCTCTCCGTGCACAGTGCTCTGCAAGCAGGGACACCCTTGCCGAGCATCCCCCAGCCAGGGCACACGGGAGCCTTGCACAGTGCAGCAACACAGCGATGCTCTGGGGAGCGTGTCCGGCACCTTGAAAGCTTCGCGCCTATTAAACAACTCTCTGTTGGCCCTGCTGGGCTTCGTATCTTGGTCATATTTGTTGGTAAACCTTGGGCTAGCCCGGGGCAAGCCATGCCTGTGGTGGGGGCCGGATGGGGAGAAGTGACCTGCCCTGCCAGATTGCTTTCCTTTAAGTGTTTGCTCTGTTGGTCATTTGCATGAGAAATTTGGGTGTCGGGGTAGCTGAACAGTTGAAAACAAGGATGATGGAGCCTACAGGAACTCCTGCTTGGCCTTGTGCTCCATGGCTCGTGCCAGGTTTGGTTTTTCTGCCTGACCCTCTCCCCCCCTTCCTGCCTGCACACCTGCCTGCAGTCCATACAGAAGTCCCTCCGCTGTTTTTCCAGGTTGTGTCTTTGTGTGGCTTTCCCTGCCTGACTCCAAACAGGGGGTGCAAGGACGAGAGCCCAAACATCTGGGTGTGGGTTTAACAGAGGCCAAATGAGGAGGACTGGGGTGCACCAGGGTGATATTAGTACAGTTCTTGGGCAGGACTTGGTGTTACCTGGGCAGCTCTTGTGGTCCTTCCTCAGAGCCCATTTTCTGTATCTGTTTTCCATGTGGTTTATAAGCTCTTGCAATATCCCAGCAATCAGGCATCACTGGCTGCCCCTCGGAGCTCAGCAGGGGACCCCGGCCTGCGCCTCCCTGGGGCCAGCAGTGATCTCCTGCCCCCTGGGCAGTCCTGGTGCTTGGCTGTCCCCTGCACTGGGTGCCAGGGATGCAGCCAGAGAAGTCCAGCGCCCCTGCATGCACAGCACCCATACTGTGCACAGTACCCCCCCTATTCACAGCACTCACATCGTGCACAGCGCCCATGCACAATTCTGCCACTTGGTGTCACCGGCCATAAAAAAGTCAGAGCTGAGATGTGCCCAGCAGACCGCAACCTGGGGACCTTCCAGCCATGGGATCAAGGGCACCAGGGATGCCCCAGGGCAAAGGTGCCCAGAGGGGACAGAAGAAGCATGGTGTGGTTCAGGGACTCCTTGGGGTGGGCTTCTGCCTGCCTTGGATCTTTAATTACATGGAAACATGCAATAAATTAAAGCCTTCAAGGACAGGATAAAAGCTAACATGGAGCCTTAAAGCACCTTCCCCTCTATCTTCATCTCTCCCCAAATACTCCACAGTGGGTGGTGGGAAGAGTTTGGGAAGGGCCCATCCCTACCCCAGGCACAGGTCCGAAGGTGCCAGCAGGACTCTGTGCTCAGCCCGGCACCTTGGGTCCCATCTTTCCAACGGTGGAGGGTGACAAAGACCCATGGCTCCTGTCCCTATGCCCGGGTCCTTGCCTCCATGCTCCTACCCCTGCTCCACCACACCTCCCCAGCACCAGAACCAAACTGTGAAGCTTGGCCCTTGCTGTGTGCCTCTGCTCGTGTCTCTGCTGCTCCCAGCCAGTGGCTGGTCTCTGAAGGAGTTTATCTGCCCCTCCATCACTTCATTGTGGGAAGTCTTGGCGTGTAAGTAAATCAGGGCACCCTGATTTACTCCCCTTGGCCAGAGCAGGGCTGGTGTTGAGCCCCATGCCTTGGGGGACTCCTCCATTGGTCAGCATGGCCCCCCCGAGCTGTCCTTGCACAGTGGATGCTCGGAGCAGTCTTTTGTGGGCCAGGCTGCACCATTCCGTGTGGAGCCCAAAATTGCAGGAGGAGGCATTGCAGTGGGGGAGCGGGGCACCAGTGGGTGCAGCCCTGGCTGGGGACAGGGACCTGGGCTCTTCCTGCAGGGTGCTGGGTCCCCCCTTCCAGAGAAGGGTTCAGTGGCAGGAACCCATGCTCTGCCAAGCACTGGCAGCATGTGTGAAGGGACAGTGGTGGCTCTGCTGGAGTACAGGACCCCAAAGGGTCACCAGCCTGCAATTGCAGGGTGCAGGCAATGCATGCAAAATAGGAGGGGGGCCAGGCACAACCAGCTCCAGCCCTGTGCTTGGCCGGTGTCCCCAGCAGGCAGGACACTGGGGGCATCTCTCTTGCCACGTGCCATGGGAGTGTGCAGCAGGCTGGCAGCGAGGGGCCGGCAGGGGAGCTGAGGGGGGTTTGCAGCCTCCTGGGCTCTCTGAGCACAAAAGCTGGAAATGGCCTTGCTTTTGGGGTTTTTTTCCAGTTAATTTTACGCTTCTCACCTGCTCCCAGGTGGCCGCAGGCGGTGGGCAATGCAACCCCTGGGAAGGAAGAGTATTTTGGGAAAGGGATCCCTAAGAATTCGGGTCCCCATATAGCCTGCAGCTGCTGGCAGGATGAGCTGGTGCTGCAGCTCCACGTGGCTGCGGGTTTGTGCCCTGCTTTGGGGCTGGGCTGGGCTGGAGGATTCCTCTGAATTATTTCCAGATGGGGATTAATGCAGCAAACCGAGTTTGCTGCAGGATAGATAAACAAACCAAAGCTCCTCTGGATGCTATTAATAAACCGCCTGCCTGCTGCTCCTGCCCCAGATTTGGGAACATCCTGGTCCTGGCCTGGGCCACAGGCACGCACTGCCTTGCTGCCCTTCCAGCCCTTTGGCCGTGGGGCAGAAGTGCCAGGGATTCCTCCGTGACCGTGACCGCTGGGATCCCAAACGGGATAGGAGCTGCAAGGGTGTGAGTGGAGGACAGTGTCTCTGCTCCAGGCCCCCATGCCGGGCTGCAGGGGGGATGAGGTGCTACTGGCCATGTCCCCTGATCCCCTGGTGTCTGCTGAGCTCTGCCAGGGGCGGTGGGCACTGGGAGGTGACACCTTTCCTCTCCAGCCTTCTGCTCCAGGACTTCAGGCAGCTTTGAAACCGGAGCAGGTGTAAACAGGGTGGAGGCAGACTTTGAGCCCTCTTGAATGGCGCTGCCACGCTGAGGCGAGGGTAAACAAGTTTTGGGCGTCTGCAGCCCAGCCAGCTCACCTTTCTCACGCCTTCTCATGTGGGGGTTCTCGGGTGTCCTCCAGTGTGCACGCAGACCTGTGATCCTGCTGGGTAGGAGGAGGGTGGCCCATGGGACTCACATCCCAACACTCCTCATTTTGGCACGGCCTGTGGTTTCCTGCCAGGGGCAAACAGAGCCTGGCCAAAGGCTGGGTTCAGGGGGGTGGCCCATGGGTCCCGGCAGAGCTCCCCATTGAAGACCTCTGGGCATGGTGAGCCAGCACAGAAGATGGGGTTAGACCTGCTGATGATATAATTTAAGCTTTGTCCCACCCCAGCCAGCTACTGGGGTCCTGGGTCCATACACCCCTCCGTACATGGCTGGTGAGGCAGCACACCCATGGGGGATGCCCTGTGGGGAAGATGGAGGCCAAGAGATGGGTCTGGTTTTGCTTTTTTCCAGCTCTCCAGCCTGCAGCGCACACAAGCAGTTAATCCCAGGCCACACAGAGCTGGCTGCTTACCTGGCTAGAGCAGTGCCTGGCAGAGGGAGGGACGAGGGCATGGCTCAGCACCTTGCCAGGGCAGGCATCACTGCAAAAATATTTGCTGAAAGAAGTGCAGCCCCACCCCAAGGAAAACTGGGGCCGGGAGCGCAGCCCGCTCCGCGTTTGCAGACAGTGGGTGGTGGCGAGCGGGGGAATGCGTGCGGCTGCAGGGAGCCGAGCACGTCCACGCGCTCCCTTTGCAGCCAGGCACTGCCTGGCACCTCTGCTCGGCACCAACCGGGCTCACCCAAGGGTGCCAAGCAGGGACGGGTAGCTGGGCAAGGCGACAGGCACTAGGGATCCTGTCCGTGGGGAAATCCTGGCACTGGAGGTGGAGGAGCCCTCGCCACCTCGGTGGGCAGCCATGGGCTGCTGGAGGTGCCCCAGCACCGTGCTGGCCTGCCTGCTTCTCCTGCGTCCGCTGCCCTCACCAGCCTGCCCTGCCGCCTGCCGCTGCTCCTCGGGGGAGGCGGACTGCAGCAAGCATGCCCTCCGTGAGGTGCCGCAGAGCCTGTCGGCCAACACCAGCACCCTGTGGCTGGGCTACAACTTCATCACCGTGCTGGGGCCGCAATCCTTCCCTCCCTTGCCGGGACTGCTGCTGCTCAGCCTGCCCCACAACCACCTGGGGCTGATCCACAGCCAGGCGCTGGTGGGGCTCGGGGCTCTGCAGGAGCTGGACCTCAGCAACAACTACCTAACTGCGCTGACCCCCGAAACCTTCCTGCCCCTAACCAGCCTGGCCACGCTCAACCTGGGCGGCAACAGGCTGGGGGAGCTGGATCCCGGGGTGCTGCACGCTCTGCCCCAGCTCCAAGCCCTCCTCCTGCAGGACAACCCCTGGGTGTGCAGCTGCGGCATCCTGCCCCTCTGGCACTGGCTCAGCCACAACAGGGAAAAAGTGCGAGGTGAGTGCCCGGAGGACCGTGTCCCCAAGCCCCCCACCCACTCCACACTGGCTGGGCACCCCGCCGGGGCTGAGGCAGGACCCAGCACCCTGGCTCCCAGCCGGCCACGGGCTCATGTTGTCGGTGCCCATGGGGGTACGGCGAGGCTCCCCAGGAGGGAGCCAGACACAGGCCACGGCAGCTCCTGTGTTTGCTTGGGTGGATGCATCCCTGGGTCTGGTCCCTGGTGCCCACCCTTGGT